GCGGTAAAGCAGTGCAAGAAACCAATTGCGATCGCACTTGGGGGTCCGCCTCCCCCATGCTCATGATCACGCAACAGATTTTTAAGACCGTAAAAATGATGTTTACGAAACCAGCAGCATGGATCTGAAGAAATGCTAGTACTCTTGAGTTCAGACCTTTTTCAGCGGACAGAACACTATTCTGCTGCACCACTGAGGGAGATAAGCTACCAAAATAGATTAGATCCGTATAGGAATGTTTGGATTAGCCACGACGAGAGAAAACAAAAAACAACAATTTTTCTGGTTGACGACGTTTATTATTATTCCTTCCCCCTAGACCAATCAAACGCACCTCCGATTGATACGGTTTCTCTCACGATTTTTGTTTAATGTTCGCTCGTTAACTGACTTGAAAAAGGCCTTCCAAGAGGGTCGAAACGTCGTCAACCAGAAAAATTGTTGTTTTTTGGTTTTCTCTCGTCGTGGCTAATCCAAACATTCCTATACGGATCTAATACTATGAGCACGACGCACAATTTTTTCAAAGACATCCGTTCCAACTTTGGATGTGATACCGTACCAGAATAGATTTTTATCACATATTCATATCCATGATGTTCTTTTTGAACACTCATCTCTGAGATTATTTGGCCAGGTAGAGCTTGAACTTTGTAGGAAATATTTGTTCACGTATCACACACAGTCTATAGCAAGCGCTTAAACAAACTGAACAGATGTTTGCTTATCCTTGAGAACCGTCAGCAGTGCAGATCAACTGTGCTGGTGGCCTATCTAAACAAAAGGATTTCAGCATGTTAACCATCCAGGCAACCCGGACTAGGCTCTACGACTAGTTCCACTCCAAGCCCGTACAGCACCTATCGGATATTGAATATCGTTACTTGGACTGAAATCAACTCCTTAAGAAAAGTCTCCTCCATCACTGTTCACACAGAATGGGCAACAAACCTTAATCTAGTGGACCTGCTACTTGATTCATGCAATGCAGCTGAGCTGTTGGAACGTGATTGATCATGCAATGTCAATATGCCACTGAATGACCAAAGAAAGACTGCAGCTGGTTAATTCGTGTTTGGAATCGTCAGCAGTGCTGTATTGATTACGCTCTAGCCGTCATGCGAGGTTTTGATCCCCCCACCCCACCCCCCACACACCCCTAGGCTACTCGGGAATACTCCACTTGTTGTTGTCACACCAACAAGCATATGCCACAAAATGCACACATTGATTTAGGGGGAATTAAAAAACACAATATCGATTTACAACTAAAAAAATCCATAAACGTCTCGGGTTAAGGAAACACGTCTGATGAAGCATGTAAGATACCTGGATCTGTCTCAAAAAGCCCATCTAACATGTCAAATGACCAGCTCTTACCAGCTAAAAGGTGATCGGTTGACGCAATGTTTTTCGGCCAATGAGGTGAGCTGTACAAGGCCCAGTTTGCGCAATAATGCCAGCTGTCCAGATGTGAGAAACCAAATGGATATTCGATCTCCGACATCTGTATCCCCTTCCCAGAATGCGCCACCGTTCAGCTGACTATCTGCGGATATATCTGTGGCCGGGTCTGGTCGAATTCGAGCCCGTTTCCCAACCCAGGTAATCCGATCCACACTGCTCGCCTCCAGCGCCAGGGAGGACGAGGAGACCGGAGAGTGCACGAGGATTTTCGGTTGAGATCGTCCGGGAGAGGCGCGATCGTCGTCTATTTTGTGTGTAGATTTCGGGGTTGACGTATGTGCCCCACTAGACCAGCGGAATGGATGCTGCCGTGATCGGGGTCCGAAACCGCGATTATCAACCAGATCAACTGCCACGCTAAAATGAGTGAAACGGTTGGTCAAACGAGAGGATATCCGGTTGAGCATTTTTCGGTTCAGTCAAACACAGTCAAACATAGTCCTTTTAATACGGTTTGAAACATCAAATTGAAATTATTTTTGGAATAATTTTACAAAGATCAACTAAGTTCGATTTCTTCATCCAATTCTGAAATTGGTTGTTTTGTACTCTGCCGTTAGACAGCTTAAATCTCACTGAAACAACTAAGGACTCCGCTTACCTTCAGGTTAGCAAACAGGGTCAATCGCAAATTAAAGCGAAAGTACGTCTTTCAATATACATTCTAGTGGAAAAATAAAATCCAGTTTTCATAATGCGTGGTCACAAAGATTCTCGGTGCGATGCCTGAAATATAAACATTAGGTATCAACGCAGTACAGATATAAAATAATTCTTTAGGCAATTCATGGGAAACAATTGATTAAACATGATATATCCAATAAATTATTCCATCGTTATCTCCGAATGGTTGTCAAATTTAGGATTATTCACTCACTTGGGTTCTGACAACCTCGGAGTGGCTCGGTGTTCGTGCTCGTTCGTTTGACTCCGTGCAACCGTGGCCGCCCGTGCCGGGGATCCACGCTGACCCGGATAGGAAAATTCCAACTGAATTAAATCATTAATCTCCTGACGTAAATTGAAATGATCCTCACTAAGTTTCCTGGCCGTGGAAAATGGCGCTTGTGAGGAAGACTCTTGTGATAGGGCCATCGACCCGGGATCACTGGAACCCAGTGGGGATGAGCACATTGCAGCTGAGGTAACCTGTAGTTGGTTATCATTGATCTCCGAGTTCGGCGGTGTGGGAGAAGTGCGGTAAGGTTTAAGGGAGCGTGTCCTAGTTTGAACGGCTGGTACGTGCAAATTGAAAAATAAAGCAGTACAGTCCTGATGAAAAATGTGCATCAGTTTACGAGAAAGTAATCAAAAGTAAGAACTGCCACGGAGCTTTCAATTTGGATGACAATGTCTCCATGAGAAAAACGAGTGAAATTTGGAGAAAACCAATGTAGAAAAAATATCTCACTGTATAAATCAAGAAGTATTTTATATTTAATGATGAGGAACTCATTACAAAAAGGACTAATGGTGTATAGACTGCTTCGAAAAACTGCTATTTCATTTTTTAACTCCTAGCGCAAACTTAGAGGAAGCCTTTGATTGAATTCCAATTGCCGATAGATAAGTTTTAGCATTATGCACCAGGTGAGATGAAGCGAAATAACTCCGGAGTTAAATCGTGTTTAATTGCAGTGTTCTGCTCTTTCCTCAAGTTTGTTTCGGAAAGTAATTGCTTTTATGATAATTTATTCACCGATTGACGATATCAAACCCGTTTTGCTTGTGCTAGTCCGTGTGTAGGATTGGTGCAGTCTCGATTTCTAGAGGCAAATTACCATGACCATTTTTAAATTAACCATTCCAAAGAACACTCGCTGGAGCCGATAAAAAACTACATGTGTTATAAATGCACAAGATAGTACCGGTGTGTGTGTGGGTGTGGTGGAGACAGTTGCCTATTGGGAACAATGGTATGATCATTGATTAATTGGCGTATATACAACAAAAAAGGTCATTTGGAATAGGCCATCCTAATCCCCACAAACGAGCAGTAGATGCGCATTTGCTGTAGTTACAAAAGTAAATTCTTCAATCCACGCGTGGATTCCGTGGGAATCCAACAACTGCCTCTTGGTGAGTGTAAACTATATAGTAAAAATTGTGAGTAGTACCTCACAACACGTGCACAGGTCTTACGGGTGACATAGCTAAGATGTAAACAAATGTCCGGTCAGACAATGTTGAACGGTATTCACATCGCAAACGGTAATTGAACGATGGTCGCCAAGGTCATGCACACATCGTGGTTGAATTAACGGACCTGTTGTTTATCGAAATAGACGAAATCCGTCGCGTTTGACTTCTTCGATGAACCTGTATGTGTACTGCTGAACAAGAGTAAGGTGTCCTTCTTCCGTCGAGTGTAGGTTAGAAACAATGTTACTGTCGTGTGTCATTTTTGTGAATAGAAACGTTCAGCTGGTTAACCTACAAGGAAGTCATACAATTAGTTTTTTCATCATAACCTTCAACGTGGTTCTAATGTCCCCCTTCGTCTGATGTGATTCAATAAAATCAATTGGGAACCATGATTAACAAATGCGATTAAGTCGCTAAGCAAAAAGCACCCCAGTAGAATGTGACTTCTGTACCGAATCTACAAGACGACAAGTTGACCAGTCAACAGCCCAAATTATTACCCGATTGTTAATGTCTGGAGTCTATCGGCGGGGCGGGTTCATGATAATAAAAAGGTACTCCATATTGTGAACGGATTAAAAACGGTTATCCATGCGGTGTGAAACACATTACAAGTTCAGACAATCCATACCCAAATTGAAATTTTGTCTGACTTTTGTGTGTTAGTCATGGATAACCACTGCCGATCTTTCGTAGTTCCTCTGTGGCCAAGTTGATAGCGTTTCGTACACTCAATCACTCTATCTCTAGGATGCATCGATATCACACCGTAACAAGTTGCATCATTGTCAAAGTGAAGATGATAACTTTAGGCGGTTTGATTATCCATTGTTGGCGGAAAAACAGAATGAAGTTAACAAATATTTCGCACACTATGGCATCGAATAAGTTCAGTATTCTGAATGAATGACAAAACAGTTACAAGGTTTCACCTTGTCCAAATGTTATAAGTGAACGAATCTCATCACGTTCAGTCAAAGTCCACCGTCATCCAGATACCAAAGCTGTCGATGATGAACTATTAGTGTATTGGGAACTGAACACAAATACGGCAAGTGTAAGAAAGAAGGTGCCAAACTTGGCTGTATTGCCAAAGTTTCATCCGAAATTTGGCAAAATCCACTTTTGTTGTGCTAATCAATCACATTTTGATCCCTGTAGTTATTCATCCTTTAAAATGATATGCAAATTTCATTTTCATTTTAATCGATAGAGCACCGGAAATAGTGGTATCAGTGAAATTGAACTAGTACTACTGTGTTACTGGTCGAGGAAATGTTCCGACTGATGACTATGCACCAGAAATAAAACTGAACTCGGAAGAGACAGTCGAAGCCAATGATAATGCGGTGGTCTGACAGTTCAACGTCCTGAGGCAAGCTTCATTCATTGATGATTGTGCCACCACCGCGTTGGTCATGATTGTAACAAACGCCAGACCATCATTACTGATGATAATGATAACAACGAACTCGAGAGCAATGGCATCAATAACGACAGAGTAGAACAAAAACACATGGTATTATGTTAGTCTCTGGCTGGGTTTCATTGGCCGACCAACATTCCCACTCCACCCCCTGCTCGAGATACGTTCTTCACACTGCAACTATCACCTCGGACCAAAGCAACTTCCGGCACGGCATGTTAGACCGGTACAGTTACAAACGATAGCTCGTTAAGAATACTTCACTAGCAAAATGACAAATGCACGCCTAACCGTTTCACAATCCATATGAAGGATCGGGGACAATTCGAATCGAATACGGAAACATCCTCAAACACACGCACACATTCATACGAAGTCATGCACGCACGCACGCATGTACCCACGCATATACACACAACAACAAGCATCTAGGAACAAGCAGATATGTGATGATATGATGTAAGCAGACAACTCTACCCATGCCAAAGAACTCACACGGATCAGAGAAGATTACTTCCGGACCGACATAATTTTGGGTTTATTTGATCGATATACACGTGCGTTCATAATACGCACACCCACACAGATATATGTGAATATGTGTATGTATAAATATATACATACATATCTGTATATTAATGTATCGACACAGAAGACGACACCCCAGAGGGAGAACAAGGCGGGTTTACTTCAACTGCTCCCCACTACGACACGCACATGGATGGACAAAAATAACTACGAACGCTTCCGATAGACAGTAGGCAAAAACAGTAACCGCAATAGATTGGACGATAACGAGGACAGAAGTCCCAAAGAAGGGTAACAAAAGTTTGTCGGTAAAAAAAGAATTTCAGTCTAGGCAACCAGAACCGCGACAGTTTCATGTTTGGCTTTGAGTGCGGTAAGCACCATGGGATTACTCGGATCGAATACGTCAACAATTGACTGCAAGATTCCGAGTAATGTACATGTTTCGTGTCGTCCGGAATAAGGGTAACTAAAAAACGACTACTACTACTGATATAATTGCTGCATTTCAACCTTGCAAAACTGCTCCTTGGTAAACGCATTACCTGGCTGAAACCGCACGTGTATATACCGCAAAACATGGGAATTCGATTGAAACTGCCCCACATCACACTTAACAGGGTGAAAGTCGACCGATCAAAGGTTAGATAGAACCAATGTAAAGAACACTGGCAAAGAACTATCAGTCGCAGCTGACACATGTCGGAGCGAGTCTTGGTTGAGAGCTGGTCTATCAAGGTCTGTGCACGCCCGCCTGTGTGTACATGCCTCAGATATGGGGTAAGAATTAAGCAAGGCGAATTTAGAGTGGGGGCGATGCCTGCTCGCAAACTGTAACGGATGGGTCAGTCACGGTGACGATGCAGGTTGCATACACACTTCCACTACCTGAATGATGAACAGTGTACTTGATTCCCCTTTACTGGTCTCACGCACATTTCACACACAAAAGCCGGAAGATAGGCCTGACCTCTAACCCTTGTAACGTGCCCGATCGTAACTACAACAACAAGCTAACGCTAAAAGTTGCGGTTCGGGGAACGAAGTCAACAGCAGTATGAGTGCTCAGCGTATGAAGTCAGTCACAAACAGATCCATACGAAACCCGAGATCACGACGAAAGTGAGCAACCAAAACAACAATTGAAGACCATTGCCTTACAACAGTGAAATATCATCAATCGATAACTTGATACGGCGTTGGTTTTAGCCGGTTAACATCCCTATCTCTGATATAATTATCCAGGAAAAGGTGGTGCACAACTGCATCGAATAGACTTTCAAAGCCCTTCACATTTTCCGTGGTGCGATGTGCAGTGAAACGCAAGATTGGATTTGGCTCACAAACGAAAGGGAGACTTAGATTTAAGTGATTATTTCGCAAAATTATCAAACAAATAAAATCCGTCAAGCATTACAAACCATGAAATCATCAAATAATTGAGGGTTAATCTCTCGCAATACACCACCACATCTACCATCACAATTTGACCGGAACGATATTATCGAAATTTGCCCAGCATTCCGAAATGGATCATCTTCACGATCCAAAAAAATGAGGCTCATGCGGTATATTTCAAAGATCATTATGTCTGGGCTGAATTCCACATTTCTGTTGTTCTACTCTCCTACAGTGCCAGTCAATTACAGCGAGGAGTATGCGATACTCTGTTCATCCTCCGTNCCGTATTGCAAACATGAAACGATTGAAAATGTTAGGGGTTTTCCTGTACCATCTCTGAGAAGTTCATGCATATATGTACTGTGCCGAACCAGATATGATGATGCAGTTTTGTCTTCTCTGTTCTCAGTAACCAGAAAAACATCTCAGTGCCTAAACTAGCGAATGCGATTTATTCACATCGCCTATCAAGCACAGTTGGTTGGATTCAAGTGGATGGTTTGGACAAATGATCATCAGCAGAAATCCCTATCAGGGAGATTCTTAATACCAGACATTTTAGCTGATCATATGCAATACTGAAGTTGTGCATTACGTGTATGGAATAGCTGACTGATTTGCTTAGGACTGACCA